AAGCACGTACCAACTTCGTGAAAATAAAAAAGATTTTGTGCAACAAAGATCTGACATTGGTCCTCAGAATAAGGCTAATTAAATGCCATTTACACAGTGTACTCTACTATGGAGCTGAATCATGGATATTAAACCGAAATACTATAAATCGACTTAATGCGTTTGAAATGTGGATATTTAGAAGATTGTTAAAGATTAAATGGGTAGATAAAATCACGAATTCTATGTAAAAAATGTCTATGTAAAAAAAAGGTTATAATTGTAATCACTGTTCGACTGTTAGTTAAAAATATAAGTAAAATAAAACCATGTTTAATCCTTTATATTCTTCCTCCACATCACAATAATTTGGCGACGACGTAAATGGAAAAGTGATTTTGTATATTTCAAGGATTTCGTTTATGTACATATTTTTAGAGTAAACATTGCTAAAAATGCCAAAGAGTGGAAACGATATCCAGGCCGGGGAGCCATGTGGATCACAATCACAGCCCATAACAGTTGTACATGCAGGGAATATATCTTCATTAGCAACGTTTAGAAGTGACGATTTTGAAATATTTGAAGAAAGGTTAGAACAATATTTATTGGCTAATTAAGTAGAAGAAGGAAGAAAACTTGCTGTATTATTAACATTACTCAGTGAAGACATTTACAAAGTGTTGAAAAACCTATGTGCACCTAGCAAACCAAAAGAGAAATCATTTGATATTGTTATGGCACTATTAAAAAGCCAATTTAAACCTTGCATTGCGATTTATAGAAGAAGAATAAAATTTGAAACATTGAAACAGGAAGACGAAACTATAAATGAATGGTATATTAAAGTTAAAAATATGGCAACGCAATGTGAATTTGGTGATAAGTTAATGTATAGACTACAAGAGAAATTCGTAGTTAGAATAAAACCAGGCCCAATATTAGACCACTTATGTGAAGAAGATCCCCATAGGGCTTTAAATGATCTTTTAGAAATAGCACTGGCAAAAGAAGCAGCTTTGAGTGAATCCAGAGGAGTGGACATAAATTATTCAGAAGCCAGAAGGGAAGGTGGTAAGAAAATTCATTTAAGGCAACCAAGTTCATCAAATCAAACTAAGACTGGTAGGATATCTGCAAGTAATAAAAGAGATACTTTGTGTTTTTATTGTAATAAACCAGATCATGATTTTAAAATGTGTAAGTTTAGAAAATTTATTTGTAATAAATGTAAAAAAGTAGGGCATATTGCAGCAGCATGTAAAGTTAGGGGAAACAATTTTATAGAAACTTATAATAATGTAGATGCTGAGGATAATACCTCAGAGGTAGATGGTATGGTGGATATGCTGCAGATGGATGTTTGTAATGTTGAGGCTTATATTAAACCAATGTCAATAACCGTTTTAATAAATCAGCAACCTATTGTTATGGAAATAGATACATTAGCTGGTGTTTCTTGCATTCCTTTTAGTATGTATAATCAATGTTTTTCAATGGTAGAGTTAAAACCAAGTTTGATTAAATTAAAGTATTATGATGGACCAGTATTAATATCAAAAGGTAAAATATATATATAAAATATATACAAAGCAAAATATGGGATAGAGTTGAAAATGTTTCATTGACAATAGTGGAGGGAGCTACTAAGGCACTGTTAGGAAGAGATATCTTTATAAAATTTAATTTATCCATAAATGGAACAAAAGTCTATATTGGAAAGCATGAATTAAGTTATAGCAAGTGTACCAGATTAATGAAATAAGTATAAATGAAATTGACTTTAAATCACAATTAAATGTTTTATTAAGAAAATATGAGAAAATTTTTAATGATGAATTAGGTAAATATATAGGTGAGCAAGTTCATTTAGAGATGGAAAAAGATGTTAGGCCAATTTTAACACTCTAACACTCTACATCACCACCATATCATCCAGCAACAAATGGGTTTGCAGAGAATTTTGTTAAGACATTTAAAAATGCTGCTTTGAAAGGATTGAAGGATGATTACAACTGTAATAATTCTTTACAACCTATAATCAGTAAGTTATTGTTCCATTATAGAAATTCGGTACATTGTACTACAGGTGTATCACCCTCCAGTCTTGTATTTAAACATAAAGTTAAAACATGATTAGATTTGTTATAGACAGGTAGTGAGAATCAGAGTTCTAAATTAATTGATAATAAATTAAATAGTAATAGACAAATTGAAACTTTTCAAGTGGGAGATAAAGTCCTTTGTAGAGATTATCGTTATCCTAATCGTAAAACATGGGCAAAAGCAATAATAGATGAACTTTTAGTTGACAGGATATATTTGTGTAAGTTAACACAGGAAGGTTTAATTTGGAAAAGACATTTAGACCAGATTTTGAGAGATAAAGAATCTGATTCTAACTATGATAGTCTTAATGAAACCGTTGTAACTGATATAAATAATAATAATAATACCATTAGTAATAGTGTTGAACCCCTCTCAGCTGTAAGAGAAGGGGAAGTGTTAAAACAAAATGATATTGAAGCAAGAAATTTTAAAGAGTCTGGTAATGAAGTAGCAAGTGAAGCAGTGGTTAGTGAGGTTAATGAGAAACCAGAGACCAAAGAAAGTGTGACAACAGTTCCAAGTAGGCCAAAAAGAAATGTAAAACCACCTGTGCGTTTAAACTTATAGTGGGGAGGTGTTGTAGTATATTATAATAGAGAACAGAAGAAGAAGATATAACAAATGTCATGTCAATTGTCTATGTAAAAAAAGGTTATAATTGTAATCACTGTTCGACTGTTAGTTAAAAATATAAGTAAAATAAAACCATGTTTAATCCTTTATATTCTTCCTCCACATCACACTAGTTACTATGCGATCCTTCAGTTAAAAACTCTATTTAACACAAATCAATTGATAAGTGTATATTATGCATTGGTTTATTCATATATGGCCTATAATGTTATCTTGTGGGGAAACTCTAGAAACTCTTCTAGAGTTTTTATAACTCAAAAGAGAATTCTTAGATTGATATTCAATATTAATAATAGACAATCATGTCGTAAATATTTTATTGAACACAGGCTGTTGACTTTTCATGCTTTATATATTTAAAAGTATATTATTCACGTCAAAACTAAATTTTTAAATGTTACCCTCAACTCTTACTTTCATAATTACCCGAGAAGACACGGGAGTTTGATAAGAGTGTGTAAACACTCCACAACTCTCTTTGAAACTAGTCCTGATTTTGCAGGATCTAAATTTTATAATTGTTTGCCACTTAAGATAAGAAATGAAAATAATATTCAAAAATAAATTAAAAGCATGCTTGATACAATTATGCGTTTACAACCTAAATGAATATTTTGACTTAATAAAAGACTACAGAGAATAAGGACCGATGGGTTCAGAGACGCTCTATATTGCATATCTTTGTTTTTTATTTTTATAATAATCTATATTTTATTGATTTTGTTTTATGTAATTGTCGTATATAACTTGTTGATCATGCTTTATGTACTATATAACTTGTCCTATATCACAATGTGATCTGATGGGATTAATAAATAATATTCTATTTTATTCTATTCATTAAATATTTCATACTAAAAATATAATTTTAGGTTTATTTCAATGTACATTATTTAAAGATGATTGAGAGAAACGATATCTTGTTGACTATTCGAATTTCAACAAAAACGCTCAAACATGCAACAGAGACATTCACAAATTACAGTCAGCAGGCTTATCCACCACAGAAATTGATGGGGAATATTTGTTTATCTTTTTGTTCTTATATTACTCCTTGGACCTATTCATGTCCGATCTTACGGCTGTAGTCGTATTTGCGACATTGACTGCCATCTATGCCGTCATATTTTAAAGGATTTTCCTAGTGGTCTAGTGTCTGTTATTTTTAAATCGCTTCTTTTTTTCTCTGAAAGCAGTCCTTTCTACACCGGTCATACTGTCTCTAAAATTTTGTTATTAATCTAACATGGGTAGAATATGACTGGCACCTGTCTAAGTAATTTAATGCAAACACCAAATTACCTAGTTGCCATGTAAATTTAAAAAGTCTGAGATAATATCCCTCAGAATACTATAATTTTCCTTAAAGGTTTATAAAAGAGGTGAATACTCTAATAGCTAAATATTTTTAACTTTATTATTTTTAAATATTTCACGCTAAAAATATAACCATATTAAAATATAGCACATTATATACCAATTTTTTTGAAAGTGACTATATATTACTGATTGTTTAAAAAATCGTAAGAATCAGTAGGTTATTCCAGTATATAAATGGATGGGGAATACATATTTCTCCTTTTTTTATATTAGGCCTTGAAAATTTGGAAGATCTATTATCCATAGACTTTCCGCTAATTCCCGATAGACATTTTATTTGATTCTTATAGTAAAGGTAAGTACCCCGATTGAAACGAATCTCTCATTTCTGAGTCCTATTCTGGGCCATTCCTTATTGTGTTTGTCTCGTTTGCACGAGTTACGATGAAATACTTTCGGACACTGAAATACATTAATACCTAACCAAGACGATTCGCCAAAGTTTGTCAGCTCTCTCTGGGTCCACTTGGAAAACATTTTCATTCCATGCTATACATTCCACGAGCAAGATTGTGTTACACCTTACATTTCCCTAATGAATTTTTTAAAGTATTAGCAAAAATAATCGTAAAATAGTTTCGAACTATTGTGCGTCCGTATTGAAGCCATGTTATTGTTGCTTCTTAAAAGACAGGAAATATTGATTTTTCATATTGATTACGTTGAGGACTCCTATGAATAGCTCTTCAGACGAGACCTATTAGTTTGAAATACGTATCAAGAGATACATAGGATTTGTTTGCGTGAAATCAAATATTTGCTGCCTTTTTTCATTTTATTAGCAAAAAATTCGTAATAAAAATAATCCAGTAAGGGGAATACATACAATTACGCTAATATTGTTATCACACATTCGTTATAAACATTGTTACTGCCAGTATAAATTTATTATTACTTACCATAAGGTTTAAATCCGTATTGAACTGTGTTCCATTCTGCATATGACTAATGGTTGTATTAATATTGGGAACCCTATCAATCGAACTGACCACAGCAACACTGTAGGTACAGGTAAAATATTTATCTAGTGATGTATAGTCGCCGAAAATACTAACGTCTACTCTTTGTCTTCTTTCCCAGGACACTACTCCATGTAAATCATATAGATTATTCAAATGTTCAAACCTAGTAAAAAAAATATATTTTTGGAAAGTGGGAAAAGAGTAAATAATTTAAGTAACGATTTCAGAGAGTGAAATTAACTGAATAGTTGAAACTGGGATCTCTCGGGTTAGAGAATCTTTGCCAATGCGAAAGATTCAAATTAATAAAAGGGTACAAAAAATTCTACATAGTAAAAATAAATATGTGGTCTTACCTTCCTTTTAGTTGCGTTACTCTCCAATTATCAAATGGAGTTTTTAACTCTGAACTAATTTCTAAGTAGAGCTTTCTGTTATATTCGTACAAGACATCCAAATTAATAGCAAATATTTTCTCGACATCCCAAGAGACACTTATCAATGTATTTAAGTGTTTGTCTAGAAAAGTTACCAAGCCGTTAGTACATTTTTAAAATTATGAGGATTTGTAATTTATTTATCATTATTTGTCAAATATCAGCAGTTTCATACAATATATAAAATGTGAAAATATTTTAATCAAAGCTTAGTTGTAGAGTATCCGAAATGTAAAATTATTAACATAGTTATAGATTATATATAATAACGGATTGATTACGGCTATCGCCGCTTCTCCGCCCCCCAATTTCCATCTGTTTATGTCAAATGCAGTTGCCTCTTCTAAACCTCTTGCCGCCATTGCTTCATCAATATCGTTGCGCCAACTTCTACGTGGTCGTCCTCTCTTTCTTCTTTTAGGAGGGATCTATTCCAGTACTCTTCTAGGCCATCTGTACTCTGGCATTCTTTTAACATGTTCGAACCATATTTATTGCCTTCTTTCTATGTCATCATTGATATTTCGCTCCATTTTCATTTCATTTCTTTTTTGTTCGTTTCTAACTCTCTCCAGTTTCAATCTACCGCAGCTTCGTCTCAGATAATCCATTTCTGTCGTAATAAGTTTGTTTCTATTAGCTTTTGGGACGCCCCATACTTCCGAACCATAAAGTGTAATACTTTGGACTATACTACCGTAAATGTGTTTTTTTGGTTTCTAGTCGATTTTTTTTTTGCCAGAGAAGAGAGATTAAGGCACGGGTAGCTGCTCTGCCCTTGTTTATTTTTTCTCTAATTTCATCTGCGCTAATTCCCTACTTGTTGAAAATGACCCAAAAAAATATTTGCAGAATTGTACGCCTTTGATTTTGTCGTCTTCCAAGACTAGGTTACATATTTCATCTGTTCCCACTGAGAGATATTTACATTTTGTCATATTCATGTTTAGACCTGCCACCATATATTCTTTTTGCAGTTTTATTACCATATAGCTAAGATCGTAGTTGTCTTCGGCAATTACTATCTCGTCATCCGCAAAGAAAAGTGTATATAGCGTGTTTTCTTTCACCGTTATTCCCATGTTTCTACATATTTTTACCTATTTCACTAAGGATCTGTCCAAATAGATTTTAAATAAGGTTGCTGACAGACAACAGCCTTATCTTAGTCCCTTTGTTGTTTGAAAAGGAGAGATGATTTCTTGTCCCATTTTAATTCTTGCAAAGTTTTGTTCGTAGTATTTTTGTGTGGCGTTAATAAGAATTGGGTTTATTTTCAAGTTACCCATGTCTATCCATAGTTGGGAGATCGGTACACTGTCATATGCTTTTTCCAAATCTATTAAAGCTATATGGGTTTCTCTATTTCTCTGCAATGGTTTTTCCATTGCAATTTTTAATGTGAAAATATTATCCATAGTGGAGCGTCCGGCCCTAAATCCCGCTTGTTCTTCGGGTTATTTGTCTTTAATATCATTTTCTATCAGGTTTCGTAGTACTTTTGAGTATAGTCGGCCTATTGTCGCCGAGCGCTACAATCTCGCGCATCGACGTGCATCGTCCCTTCTTCTGGAAGTTTTAATAAATTATATTGGTTAAAAATCGAAAAAGTTTCATATAAAAGTTAAATATACTTTAAATATGGGACATTTTCGATTCACAGTCAGTACTGGTTTTACTCTTAAGGAGTAGCCGCAGGGCTCCTCGTTGGAGGACTCTGCAAAAAGTTTAAAAAGACTCTGAAGCTGAGTTTTTTTCTACTTAGAAAATGGTTGTTTAATTTCTACAATAAATAAACCTTCAGGCATTGTCTTTTTAAAGACAATGCCCAAATAGAGCGTACAGCGGATAAGTATAATTTTATAGATACTTATCCCGCTGCGACGACACTATAGTAGCAATCACTGCGATCCCTCTATAGTTGTTAGAATACGTCTTTGTGCCTTTCTTGTGTTTTGGAGAGATATACGATTGTCTCCATTCTTGTGGAACTACATCTCCGTTTAAACATATTTTGAATAATTTTCGGATCATTTGAAACAGTTTTGATGATCCATACCTAATCAACTCTGCATGTATTCCGCCTGGCCCTGGAGATTTTTTTAATTTAATTTTATTAACTGCTTCTTTCACTTGTTCTATTGATATTTCTATTGTTCCTTCTACTTCCACTTGTTCATTGTCTGTTTAAACCTTTCTAACAAAGAGAAGAGAAAGGTTTAATTATAGATTAAAATGTTATATATTTTGCATATATGTAAATAAATCCACTGAAAACTTTTCACAACAATAAACTCGTAACAACAATATATGCAGCCATGTATTATATTATGGTCTTATGTATCAAATATAATCAAGTCAGAGGGAAGATGATAATATTGAAGGATTTTAACGCTCGAATAGGCAATCAAATAATACATGGAATTAAGCAAAAACATAACGAGGATGTCAAAGACGAAAATTGAGAACTATTTATAAAGTTCTCCATGAATAACGAACTAAGAATAAACAATACATTTTTTGACCACACAGACCAACACAAATATACATTTAATAACACCCCTGGACAAGATCTATGATAGATTATGTTATAACCAACCGAGATATACATCCATCGAAAATAATCGACGTAAGATGCCTCAACTCAGCATATGTAGGTAGCGACCATAACCTAGTAATATGTAAAATAAGAATTATCCTGAAATACTTCCCCCTCAAGAGAGCGGCGCCAACCCAAACAAAAATCAAAGTCGAAGAACTAAATACGGAATCCACGGAATAATTATACAGGAAAATAATATCAGAGAGAGTCGCTGGGAATGAAATATTAGAAAACGATAACATCGAGGAATGCTGGGATAAACTCAAAAATAACATAATTATTACAGCAATAGAATTACTTGGAGAGAGGAAAGTAATGAACATTAACATATTAAAAAAGAAAACACCATGGTTTAGAGAGGAAGTGAAGACAAAATGTAAAGAAAAGAAGAAAATCATTTTACAAAATAGAACACAACAAACACAACAGGCATACAACTACTATAAACGAATCAGAAATCAAATAAATACATTATTTACACAACACGGCTTCTACGGAACACAAAAAGAAATATGGAGAATCATCAGAGGACAAAGAAAACAGATAAAAACGAACTAACAAAAACGAAACACATTTAGAAGGAAACATGGGTAGACTACTTTCTATCCCTATTTGCTAATCGTGACGATAACGAACCACCAACACTAGAGGTGACGACAAACGAAGAAATAAATATTCAGGAGAAAGAGGTAACGGATGCATTAAGGAAATTAAAAAATAGAAAATCACCAGGAGAGGACAGAATACCGAACGAACTCCTAAATTACGGAGGACCACATCTGAATAAACAACTATTAAAACTAATTTAAAAAATAATAGAACAAAACAGAATTCCCCAAGAATGGAGATCAAGCATCCTAATACCTCTCTTCAAAAAGAGATACAAATCGGACCGAGAAAATTTTAGATGAATTAATTTATTAAACACAACACTAAAATTACCAACCAAAGTTGTAACAGAGGATTCGACTCTGAACATAGTACCTAATACGTGTTTTAAAATCGAGCTCTTAAATTGAATTTAAAAAGTAGTGAAATACTAAAAATATTTTCATTAATTAGTGATCCAGCAGTGAAATAACAAACATAAATACAATAGAGATAGTAAGTTACTTTAATCATAAGAGTTTTTACTACATATTATCAAATATTATTTCGGATAACCTACAAAATCTAGGACAGGTATTTATACCAAACCTGTTCTACTATAGACTAAGAAGGTTGTTTGCCAGGACCGTACTACATTTACCAATGGTAATTAAAAATGGATAGTTCTATTCAATCCGAAATTCCTGCAACTACTAATACACCAAACAGCACATCATCATATCAATTTAATGGATCACGTACATATTCTTCCGTAGCAAATCAAACACCACAATCTAATATATTTCCATCAAGAAAACAAGCAATTATTTTTGATTCAGTTGAAAATACCAAACTAGATGATTACTTGTTCGCTCTGAGTCGTCTGATAGAACCAACCCAGATCATCTTCTGTTCGAAATTATCAAATAATAGAGTATGTATTTATTTAGCAAACGAAAAACTAGCTGAGGATTTTATAAACAGAAATGAAAAAATTCAAATAGGCCAGCAGCTTTTACAACCTCGTAGACTAATTAGCCCCAGTCAGCGATTAGTATTGTCCAATGTCTGTCCCTCAATCCCACACTCAGTCCTAGTATCAGCATTAAAATCACACGGATTAAATCTTCTGTCACCTTTAACATTTTTAAGAATAGGCACATCAACACCACAATTCCAGCATATTTTGAGTTTCAGACGTCAAATATACATATCTCCACTAAATAACCAGCCCTTACCTGATTCTTTTCTTATCACACATGAGGAAACGACATACAGGATTTTCCTTTCATTAGATAACCAAGCTTGCCAAACATGTAAACAAAACAACCACTTAACAAAAAATTGTCCAATGTCTACTGCGATTACAACAGATAATTCAACATCAAATAATGCAGTTCCAAATATAGACCCAATTGAAAATACAACTAATCTATCAATTCAAAAAACCCAGACAAACACTAAACAACAACAATCAAAAGAAGAAAGCACACAACAAGAATTCCAACCACAAACTACCCAACAAGAAAAACTACACATGCAACCAGCCAAAGAAGATTTAGAAACAACAAACGAGCCAAAAATAGATCTAGCAAATAAGACAACGCATATAAACACAGGCAAAGCACAAAACAAACGCACAATCTCCCAAATCTCTCCACCAGCTACTACATCTAAAGAGGAACCTACCTTTATTACACCAAAAAATAAAGAGAAGAAAGTAAAATCAGATCAAAATGTCAAACCACAAAAAACACTAGAAGAAATGCTAAGCTACTGTAAAACTTTATTTGAGAACCCAAATTCTAACTACCCTATAACTTACGAACAGTTATTAGACTTTATTGAAAACTGTGAGAACTCATCAGACCCGTTAAGTATCGCCAAAATGT